TGTTTAATTGCTTTTATAAATGTTAGGAACACTATTGTCTTTAGAAATTCTTTTTCTTTTTTTAAATTTTAATTAGAATAATTTAAGTTTTAAATCTTAAAATTCTGTATTAATTTTACCCTTTTTAGATATGTAAAAACTATACTAATGGGAAAGTTTAGTACAAATCAGCCACCAATATTTTAAAAGAATTCTGAATTTGTATGTGTAGAAACATTCTAATTTTTGTAGATATGGCTGTTCATGTACTGCGTTATTAGAAAATAATAGCAATAACTATATTAGATTTAAAGCCAAACTATCTAAAATAAAACAGAATATTTTCCTAAATTTTAAAGTAGGTATATGCACGAGATCGCTAAAAAAAGCGTATAGTCTGATGAAAAAGACGTCAAACTTGACGAAAACAAAATTTTATCGCCAAAATGTCTATGTTACGAATAAGAGTAAAGAACAAAGTAATTTTTAATTATTTTTTCAAAATTTTCTGTCTTTATTACAACATTCTAACTTTCGATTGAAAAACCTTGTTTCTCGTCATCACCGGAACTCTAGTAAATAACATGGCGAATTTTTTGTGCATTTTTTCTTATGACACACATTAATTTTGAAAATCTTGAAAAAATAGAAATAATTGTCAGATTTTAATGAAACTTTCAGAAACTATTCAGAAATGATGGAAATTATTATAAATATGTTATTTTTTTTAAGTCATTATAAAATATATTTTTTATACATATATTACCACCCCATAAATGAATTAAAGAAAACTGTAAAAGTTTATGGACGAAGCAGGGAAGTCATTATATTAATAAAAACACAAGGCTTTGAGGAAAGTAAATCAGGTTTTCTTTTTTTAAAAATCCGAACACGTAAACGCGAAAATCAGCTCTGAATTGTAACATACAAAACCCAATAAAACAAAAATACTATTTAATTTTAAATGCTTTTAATTGCTTTTATCAATATGCATAATATTGTCTGAAGGCAAAAAACTTTTTCGATGAAAAATGAATTTTTAAATGAATTAATTGTTATTTAATAAATTATTTTATTATTTTTACATAAAGTTACTAAAAGTTGTTAAATATTCTAAAATTAGCGGTACTGACGAATCCTGTATATAATGCTATTTTTAGGTACCTATATCTGTACAGATTATAAATAGTACAAGGTTTTTACAATCAACGAAAAAGCAATGAGAATAATCTTACTGTCCTTTAACCTATGTGTAGAAAAAAAAAATCTTAAATCAAATGTACGGAGGCCCGGAAGAAACATGATCCAATAATTTGTACGGCACTGTTAACGGCCTTTATATTTATATAAAATTACTTTAAAAAATTTATAATAATTTCCATCATTCCTGAAAGTTTCTTTAAAATCTGACAATTATTTCTATTTTTGCAAGATTTTCTTTCAAAATTAATGTGTCATAAGAAAAAAAATGAACAAAAAATTTGCCATGTTATTTACTAAAGTTCCGGTGATGACGAGAAACGAAATTTTTCAATCAAAAGTTAAAACGTTCTAATAAAGACAGAAAATTTTTTAAAAATAATGAAAAATTACTTTGTTCTCTCCCCTTAATAGTAATATAAACATTTTGGTAATAAAATTCTGATTTCGTCAAGTTTAAGGCGGTTTTTTCATGGTATGACTACTTAAAAATGACGAGGTAAATAAGTTAACGTAAAGATAAATTGTCACTTACGACCTTCCGTACTATAAATTTCCGCACGTAATATGTCAGTGCGTGATGAAAAACACGCACTTGTCATTTGTCAATCAACACCGCAGTTCAGATCGGCTTTCTCCCATTTGAAAAACATGTTTTCATCACAGAAAATAAGTAATCTTTGTTTCAAAATATACTAAATAAACTTTCTAATTTCTAATTTTTAAAATTAGTTAAAAAAAAAATCATAATTGATTTTTAAATAAATTTTAAACGGCAACATTCACTTTTGTAAACAAACGTCAAAAACAACGGGAGATTATCGATCTTCTGTCGTTTTTCGATTCAAAAAATTGAAGATTTTTAACGAAAATTTTGGACGTGCTAGAAATTATTAAAAAATTTGAAAAAATATTCAAAAAATACTTTGATCATTCCTCTTGATAATAACATTAACATTTATCGATAAAAAATTATTTTAATCAAATTTAAGGCCTTTTTTATTCATGGTATGCTATTTTTTTATCGATCTCATGCACATACCTATTTTAAAGATTATTTAGTACTTAAAAGTTATATAAAACACTCATTATATTCAATTATTTTTTTACAGTTAAAACATTAAATATCCATCTGTCATGAAGCTATCAACATGTCAGTATTAAGTAAACAATTACTGCTGTATTAAAAATGCATTTCTGTGATATTTTCAGCATAAAAGTAAATGTTTGTTTCTAATCTGATTATTTATACTTTGTCTTCTAATATTCCACAAAATTTCAAAAAAGTATATTTTATTTTTGGAAGATTTTTTTTTTCTTTTTGTAAAGAGGAAAAACCAAAGTATTTTCTGATCATTTTATTAAATTTTTTAATCCTTTCTAGCATGTTAGAAATTTTGATTAAAAAAAATCTTGTTTTCCTTGTGTTGGTCGGCCAATGGTTCTTTTTTTTTTTTTTCTTCTTAAATACAACTTTCACATTTACATTAGTTAAAAGCAAGGCTCCTTGGAAAATTTAAATCTGTTTTTGTCAAACAGAAACACCATTTACTGAATCCATAAAATAAAAAAAAAAAGCATAAAATTGACAATTGCTATTATAAATAAGAAATATTATGGACACTATTGTTTTAAAATTTTAATTAGAAAAATTTATTCATTTTTAAATCTTGAAATTCTGTATTAGCTTCAGCCTTTTAGATAACTATTAACCAACCATAATAGAAAAGCTTAATAAGCTAATATATAAAAAAAAAAAAAAAAATTATGTATATAAATGTTTTTTTTTTTTTTTTTTTCTTCTTCTTCTTCCTCAGGTGACCATATACAATATCAGAAAATAAGGGATAATTATAGTGAATTTAAAGTCAACATATCTAAAAATTCAATAAAACATTAGATTACAGGGAATATTTTCCAAAATTTTCAAGATTACCGAGTACTTAGAAATTAAATTTAAAGAAAAAAAAGGTGCTTGTCACTTTCTTCAATTGTTTTACAAATAGTCTCTATAGAACAGCATTAGATTTGTCATCACTTTGTCCAAAACGGTTGTTGTTGGGCTGAAAAATACATTTCTACATTTTAAACTTAAGTAAATATTTCAAATCTGATTAACTATACTTTAAATCAGCTAATATTTTTCACTTTCAGGAAAGTATATTTTATTTTTGGATGATTTTTTTTTTTTTTTTAAAATAAAGAGAATTACATTGCAATGAAAGAATTATAAAAAAAATGTTGGTGGGGGGCTCCTTCCAGACAATGTAAATTTAATTTTTGGAATACAGCAAAGTATCTTACTTATTAGAAATATATTAAATTTAATCTATTAGCTTGAAATTAAAAGATAAGCTTAAGATTTTTCATTTTTAAAAATTAATTTTAAACCTTAGATGTTGTTTTTGAGTGGTCCCTATTTTAATGCCTGTAAGAATTTTGAAGTTGCATTAAATAAAAGGATTTGTTTAGCTTAAATTATTCCATAAACTCTTAGGAAATGTTTCATAAATAAGTCTTCATAAAAAGAATGCATCCCAAAATTGTATTGAAGTCGAATAAAATTTTAAAATTTTCTCATCTAAATTTTGTCACTGTTTTATATACTTTAAACATGCTTTCCGTTTTCTTTATTGTGAGTACAAATAATTTTTATCAATTTTCTTCTTGATTGTAGCATAAACTTTTGTTTTAATATTGCTTTTTTTTTTTTTTTTTTTTTGTAAATTTTTTAATGTTAAAAAAAATTGTCTACAACGGGTGCTGAAAAGTTTGTTGATCTACTTCAAAAAATTTAATCGAGCATTTTTTAATCTACTTCAAAAATTTAATCAAGCATTTTTTTCTTGTTTGCTCAGGTTAAAAACTTCTTAGTACAGACTTGTAATTGTACATGGTGTTACAAAAAGTATTTTAAATAGTATTCTTTCAAGATTTAGTCATTGACTAATAACATAATTACTAATGTTAATTACAAACATTTTTCTGCAGGTTGTATCATTTGAAGATATGCAGAATGGGGATGGACCAAAGTTTCTAAAACCAATTTTTTGTCAAAATCATCCTAGTGAAAACATCAAGTATTTTTGTGTTCTATGTCAGGTAATCTCTTTTTTTTTTTTCTTTTCTTTTTTCTTTTCTTTTTTCTTTTTTTTTCTTCCCAGATTTTACTAAAGTGCTTTGCATATTTATAAGAGATAAGATGTATCTTTATCCCACCAAAAAAAAATGTTGAAGTGGAGGAGAATATATGATCTTTAATGTAAAGCAAAAATGTCTTCCTTTTTTAAATCTTTTTAATCTTAATCTCTCTTTTATTGAACATAGTTGGTTGGCATAATCTTTACATTCACTATTATCAGTAATCAAGTTTAGCAAAATATATTTAGTGAACAATGAATTACACTGAATATTAATGTGTGAGTGAGTGATATTTTAAGGATATAAAAATAAGTACATTAAAAACGTGACTAGATTTCATTTTAAAGGATTTGCTAAGACAAATTTATACCCATAAGATGTTGATTATTTATGAATTGTCACTTTTCCTAACAATCAGTATATGTACATTCTGTGGTATCACACACACACACACACACACTATGAATTATTATATACCATAATTTCTATATTTGTTTCAGGTGCCCATTTGCAATGAGTGTATTTTAAGTGATCATAAACAACCAGAGCACATGTCTGAAAAGATTGCTGATATTGATACAAAACTAACTGAAGAGTTAAATAACCTTTTATCAGAAAGTAAAAATAAAATTATTTTCTGTGAAGAGGCATCAAATAGTCTTGGGAATGCTCTGTCTGAGATGCAGCTGCAACGAGATAATACCAAAGGATTGATTCAAGAGACATTCCAAAGTTATAAGGCATTGTTGGAAAACAGAAAGGTAACATAATTTATGAATTGTTTTTCTTTATTTGGTGTTTGAATTTTAACTTTTTAATGAAACAATCTTTCAAGACTTATGAATTTTTTGATTGCAGTTAGAATTTACACTCTTTGCTTCCAAAAAATTTTTTTATTTCGAATTGAAATACACCATAGAAGTAAAAAGTAGCAGTGCATTAGCTTCTCGGTAAAAGATTTAAAATGGACCCATGTATTATAAATAACTTTCACTTGACCTTTGTTCATATTAGCTATTTTGTGCAAAAGTTATTATCAGCCACCGAGTTGTTTGCCTTTACTTTTTATAATCTAATACCACTTTTCAGTTATATTTTGTAATTTTAAAGGGATGATTCTGATTTTGATTCAGTAAATTCTTTGCAAATTTTTTCAATAATTTGAACATATTGGAGTATTGCAATCAGGTGTAGTATATAATTATTGACAGTGACTTCTCCACTTCCTCACTGTTTATCTGAATTTTGATTTCTTTAATATCACCTCCTTACAGTATCTTTCTCAAAGAAAATTCAATCTGATGAGGAAGTGAAACCATTGCCAATAATGATGGACTACCTCCAACCAACTCATTGGCTGTTTAATGATTAAATACAAATTTAATGTTAAACAATTCTATAAAAACCTGTTGAATGAAAATATTTATTGAACAAAACCAGTGATCATCTGATGCTGACAGATATGGGAATACATTGCAGAAGAAATTTTAATTCCAACTCCATGTCTTGCATGTTATTCAGTAGATCACTAATCAACTCCAATGTCCAGAAAGCAGTCTTTTTTTTCTTTTTTCATATTCATTTTTTTTGCATCATTCAAATAAGGCAGTTACTCACTGCAGCATTGCAATTTGTCAAAATTCCAGTAATTTACAATTTATAAAAATAACTTTTAAATATTATCAGTCACAAAAATTTCCTGCTTCTTTCTCTTATGTTGAAAGCTGACATAAATTTTCCCAGCAATTTTTGTGTTAGAAAAAAACCTGTTCTTTATTGCAAGTTGCTATTTTCCAATATTAATTAGATGTTGAGAAAGATAAAAAAACATTTAGAGGTATTTGAATGCTTGTGAACCTTTTAGCACTCTGCATTATTAATATTACTTCCCTTTCCGCTGCATTCTTAATTGTACTATCCTTGTTAATATCGCTCAGTTTTCCTGTTGGTATAACAGGATATGACAACACAACTATGAAATTCACACGCTAGTGTTCAGGGATCAGTCACCTTCAGTAGCAGAATAAACTTTTTGTGCTTCAAATGAAATCACAATAATGGTTAATGTTTGTTCTGAGAAGTTTGTGTAGAATGTTTGTATCTTCCTATGATTTGTGAAATTGACTGATAACAAACTTTAAATGCTTTTAAAAAAATTTTCTGACATTGTGACAAATACTACATTGAACCTTTTGATTCAACTTAATTGTATTTGCTGTTGTGAAAGCACTGGCTTGAGTAACATGATTCAGGATATATGACCTTTTACTTTTGGCTGCTTGTAAAGATGTTTTGAAATAATAGGTTAGTGTTAAATTGTGCTCTTGGTTAATGTTAAGTTAGATTTTCAATAAAACTAAATTTCTCATTTTCACTTTTTTCCAGGATGAATTACTAAAAGAATTAGAAGAAATACATAATGCACAGCAACTTTCTATCATTGAAATGTGCCATAATGTGGAAAAAACTATAGAGAAGATTGAAGATGGCTGTAAATTCACAGAAAGAATTCTAAAAAATGGAAATAGTATCCAAATATTAATGTTAAAGAAGCTGATTGCCAATCAGCTGCTTTCTCTTAATAGTACTCCTAAACCAGAAGTGAATACGACAATAGAATTCAAGACAGATGATGTTGTCTTTGCAGAAGCTGTTAGGAAGACTTTTGGGACAACCACATTGAAAAGAGATGATCAAAAGGTATGCTTTTAAAATTGTTTAAATCAAAGGTAAAATACTTAGCCATTTGTAAATGGATATGGTTTATTTGTAATTTCTCTTACCTTCTATCTTGTGAACAAAATAGAATACATATATTAAAAAATTAGCTGCATTTTTAAAAAAAAACTTTTTTTTCTTTTTCTTTTTTTTTCTAGGTTGATCCTGTCATGTCTTCACTTCATTCGTCTTTTGAGAATGAGGGATTTAGTTTACCGCCTGGAGTTCTCAGTCCTGATTTACCACAAGTATCTGCCACTGACCTTTCCAATTTGCAAACTGTAACCCCTGTACCAATAACTGGTTGTGGGTCTCTTGTTAACCCCTTGCGTGTTTCTTCTGACTCTTCTCCTATTGGGATTGCTATCACTGGAGCCCATAATATTCCAGAAAATAGTTTGTCACGCAGCTCACACAGTCCTGCTATGTCTGACAGTGGAATTTCTGTTGATGCAGCCAGTACAAACAGTGCACCAAGTGCTCCTTTGTTTAACCTAACAAATCTGGCAAAATTGGGTAATAGCACATTTAATGGTCAAGGTGAGCTATCTTAACCATCTTACTTGATATTTCTATTATCAATTTGGAATTTTAGTTTTGAAAACTTTTTGACTAAGTTACATAATTGAATTCCGGTTTCTCTAACTTTTTTCTTTTCTTTTTTAAACATCATCTTTTGGCAGTATTTGAGCATGCATACAATCTAATCATTGACATTGTGTGTGATTCTGCATAGTTGTTGGTATAGCAAATAATGCTTACCAGATCCTTATCATATAGTTAAGCAGGTGAAGCTATTCTTCTCTAGCTTTGTGAGTATAGCATACTATGTTGGACAGATTTTCTGTAGTGACAAAATTGGGAGATCGCATTGCTGAAAAAACAAAAAAAAATGGCTTTTTGTGTAGTAGTGATGAATTAATCATTTGATATACTTTCTTTATAGCTATTTTCAATTGTTTAATACAATGTGCCTGTAATTTAACCTGACATGTTATGGTTTCTTCCTCTTCATCATTTGAAATTTTTCTTAAAATGTTCTTTCAGATGAATTTTAAATATTTCATGTACATTATAGAACATGTCTTCCTAAAAACGTTTCAGTTTTAAATTTTAAAATGGAAATAAAAATGAGTAAATGTAGTTCAAATGTTTTAAGAATCTTAAGCATAAAAATCCTACAATACCAGACTAGCTCTACTGATTTGTTTATTGTCTGCTTTCTACCAGTATCTTCTATTAGTGTCCTGGGTAAGATAAGCTACGTCCAACACCAAGGCTTCTGATCGAGAAGTTTTGAGGAACATGGAACCCCTCAATTGCTGATGTTCCTGGGTCCAATCTGACCCGGGGTGGTAGCACCTGTTAGGGTCCCAGGTATGAGCAAATAGTTAACCCCCCAAACTAATGTTGAAGCACTGTGAAAGTGTAAAAATAGGATTTAACACCAGCAATGAATTTTTGAGGAAAAAATATCAGCAATACATTTTTGTAAATAATTATTATTAGCAATACATTGTTACCAGCAATATACTAAACCCCAAACTGGAGTCAAAACACTATGAAAGTGTAAAAATAGGTTTTTAAAAATCTTGTTGGCATTAAATAACACACTGGGTTGATATGCTGTAAACCAAACTTTCCATTTAAATTTAATGGAATTCTATTTTTAGAACTGTAACAAAACTGTATTGCTTTGATTTGATTTTTTTTTTAAAATCAAATAAAATCTTTATAATTCTGCCAATACTATATACCAGTATTTTTTGTCTTTAAATTGAATTCAATTATTTTTAAACTCATTAATGCCTATATTTTGAATTATTCCATGTTTTAATAATGTTTATTAAATTAATAAACTGAAAAAAAAAAAAAATTAAACTGAAGACTGATCATATGCAAAATGTGTATATGTGCTCATTTTAGCACTTACATGCCTTTGTAAGCAATTAATTGTGACAGTAAAATCTAAACTATTTATAGGCAAAATATTAAATACCTTCATTTTAATCAAGGTCTCTTAAAGAAATTGTTTACAAAAGCTTAAATTATAAGAGCTTACTACTTGTTATCCAAAACTGCCTTAGTTTACAATGGAAACACTTTCCTTCCATTTTCACTGCTGATTTCTTATTTCCAAAGCTATCTTGATAAAATTAGTATGTAAAGAAAATTTCATCTTTTCTGTTTTTAAAGATGCAATTTTTTCGTGATGCTTAGTTTATTTCATGTCTCTTTAAATTGTCACTATTTCATTAAACGCAGTTATGTTTACACATCAAAATAGTCCCAGATTAAAGAAAAAGGAAAGCTTGTCAATTTGGTGGGTGAACCATAAGGTTTGAAGTGGCCTTTCACAAAAAAGCTTTAATGGATGAAAATACCAGAGAAATTTAAAAAAGAAAAGAAAATTTACTTATTTTTGTACCCACACAACTTGAGATGCACATGAATTAAAAAAAAAAAAAAGAAAAGTATACTGTGTGTTCATTTCATACAAAATGGTTGGGCTTTGTACATTGAAATTTGTATTGCTGAATTCAATTTTAACTCCAACAAATCATTTCTTTAGATGGAGCGCTGATGTAATTCCAGTTTCATGTGATCGCTAGGTATGGAGTGTTCCAGAAATAATAGCTGTATCAGAGGCTTATAAGGAAATTAAGTTGGCAAGGAGACAAAGTGCAAGAGAACCATTCACAATACCCAGAAAGTCTTTTCTATGAAAACTGAAGAAGTTTTAAGCACTAGTATAAAAAATTTGTTTTTTCTTTTCTTAGACAAAATTTCTAAGTTTTGTAGTGATTACTCTTCTGTTTTCTTTCCCCAGTTGAAAATTATGTAATTTCACAATTTTTCAAAATAAGATACATATATTACAAGTATTGATGTTACATTGAAAATAGTTTTGTTGAATTCCTCAGCCCAAACTTATTTTCAGTTTGAATTATAATTTGAGATAACATTTACTACTACCTTCGGACATTAGAGAAAAGAACTTAAAAATGATTTTTATTTTATGCATCGTAATAATAGTTGCTTATCGGCTAGTATTAACTTTGTTTACATTAACTGACGTCTTCAATTTAAAAAAAAAAAAAAAAAAGATTAAATACCTTTTTTTACTGTATGTTGATAAAGAATAAAAATTGAAAATTACTTTTAATCAAGTTCATTTAAAGGAATAATTTATTACCCCCCACCCCCACTCCAAAAAATGAAATAAAATAAAAGCTTAAATTATAACAATACCAGTTTAAAACTCTGGATAAAAATAAATGTAAACCAGCAAGATGTTTTCAGTAATAAACTGATTGTCAGATGCTCAGGCTGCCATACTTCTGAGTAGTTGTAGCCGTCACCTGCATGTTTAAATATGCACAAACCATGGGATTGTCTTATTCTGAGTGTCTGGCAATCAGTTATTGCAAAACTTGAGTAATGTATGTACTTGTTTTTAGTAAGGTCCTTAAAAAAAAAAAAAGAAAAAAAAAGTGTAATGTTTTGAGAGAGGTAGGGAGTTCAGTTTGTGATATTGTGCTAATTGAATTTGTTTGGAGCATTATTTTGTTGTAATTGAAATTTTCTCATTTCTATTATTCAAGTGTTTGACTACAAACTCTTAGATATTGAGTATATACTTAAAATCTTTCTACTTTTAGGTTCATTGGCTTTAAATGAGCATATTGTTCCTGTATTAAGCATGAGTAGCATTAATGGACAAACTAGACCAGGCAGCAGAACTGAGACTCCAGTGTCTCAAACTGACTCTAATTTTCCTAGTATCCTTAGTCCAACTGCTGCAACATCACCCGTTCAATCAACAAATTTTGACACGTTGGTAGGACTCTTTAACCAAATTCCACAAAATAATGTGATGACCAATCTTGGAAATCTGAGTGGTCTTGGCAGCCTTAGTGTTATAAATTCTCTCAGCAGTGTAAACTCCATAACCACATCAGGTAAATAAAATAAAAATTTTCACAATGTTCTTTTAATATTTGTAATTCAATCTATCTGAATTTCAATCTAGTTACTTTATTTTAATTATTCTTAACTTCTCCTAAAATACTAAATGGTTTTAAAATGTTTCTTGATATATTGAAGAAAATTAATTTTATTTTCTGGATGCCATTGTACTACAAATATTGGTGTAATTATCTTAATGGAATGTACAGCAATGTACATTAAAAATTTTAATATTTGAAACTACTTAATTTCATTATAAAACTGACATGTTTGATTTGTATAGATAGAAACATTATTTAAATTTACTTGTAATGTTACATAAGTTATTTTTCCATTTTCAAATTCAGAATATGGAATCTTTCATATGGATTTTTTTCTTTTCAGATTCTGAACTTGACTTGGTAACTGGAGGTTAGTGCAGTTTTTGACTTTGAATATGTAAATTTTAAGTTCTTTTAAGTCTCTTGATTTTAATTTTAAAGTTTTGAGAATTAATCTAATTCTATATTTAACATTTTCAGGGAGCCTGTCAAATACATCAAGTGTTTCAAATACCTCTTTTTCATCAAATGCTCCTCCACCATATCCTCCTGTACGCAGGAGTAATAAGATGAGTCCTATGCAGATCAGGTAAGTTCTGATAAAATATGGTATTGTTGGTAATTCTTATTGCACAGTAACTTTTTGTCAGTACTTAATAAAATACAAATTTCTGGAATACATAAAGTAGTTCTTCATCTGAAATGAAGATGACTTTGCCTAATACAACCTAAATCTTTTGGATGGAACTATCATAGCACTTCAAATTATGTACTGCAGTTTCATTGGTTGTTTAGTAAAATGCAAAATAAGGTTGCTAATATTAAGAACTCTATTGTTACAAATATAGTATAGTGGTAAGTTGAATCTTACATTCAACTTAGAAAACATCAAAATCTAAGAAATGAAAAAAATTTTCATAGTAAATTATTTAACACCATTAATTAAAAATATTACTATACTTAATTAGATGTATCTAATAAAACCAAAAATATTTGTATAAGTTCATGTACCCACTTTATTTATAGGTGTAAGTTTGGTCAGTTGGGCCCTGGAAAAGGACAGTTCAATTCTCCTCATGGATTTTGTCTTGGAATAGAAGAAGATATTATTGTGGCAGATACTAACAATCACCGTATCCAGGTTTTTGAAAAGAATGGAGACTTCAAATACCAGTTTGGTGTACCTGGTATGAACTTTTGGCTTTAAAATTGTAGTGCATTAAAAATATAGCCTGATTTCAAGTGTATTTTAAAAATAAATCTGTTAATAGCAAAATAATTTCTTTTTTTTTTTACTTTTGAAAACTAAACTGAATAATTACTACATGCTTAGAGGTTTAAAATGTTCTAATCAGTCATTATATTGAAGTAAAATCAGTTTCCTATGAAGAATAACACTTTATCAAAAGTATAAAATCCTCAAAGATTGAACATACTAGTAATGTAATGATTTGCAAAGATAGCTTGCCAACTATAAAAAGTATGTATGTTCCTTTTTGCAGGGAGAGAAGAGGGCCAGTTATGGTATCCACGAAAAGTTGCTGTAATGAGAAATTCTGGAAAGTATGTTGTCTGTGACCGGGGAAATGAACGATCACGCATGCAGATTTTTACAAAAAATGGGCACTTCATAAAAAAAATTGCTATCCGCTATATTGATATAGTTGCTGGTTTGGCCATTACTCAACAAGGTAAAAAACAATTTATCTTTTTTTTTTTTTTTTTTTTTTTTTTTTTTCCCCTGCAACTTCCCACTTGAAAAATTTCATGATGACTTATTTTGAATTTTAAAAAATCTACATTTTTTATTTAAATGATTAGTTATTTTATAATCTATGTGAATTTGATTTTTTAAAAGTATGAATGTTTTTAGTATATTCTAACAGTCTTGATACTTTTAGTCTGCATCTATTTTCATATTGGTATATAAATTGTACTTCTATTATTATGGATAGCCTTCTAGAAACGGTTTTGCAGGAGAGTTGATGTGAAAATAATTTTATGGTACTTGTTTTAGTTAATCTTCGTAATATATTTAGTAAAGTTGATTTGCTGTTTATTTTTAGGTCACATTGTTGCAGTTGACAGTGTTTCTCCAACTGTTTTCTGTATTGCGGAAACAGGAGATCTTATTAAATGGTTTGATTGCAGTGACTATATGAGAGAGCCATCTGACATAGCTATTAGTGGAAAAGAGTATTTTGTCTGTGATTTTAAGGTAAGTTTTACTATAAATTGAATAAGTTGATAATATTAGACTTTTTTTTTTTCTTTTTTTTTTTTTTAATCTTTTAAAAATACTGATGTTTGAGGTAGTTTTCATTTTAAAACTCTTGCATTTTTGGGATTTGTATAAAATTTAAGTTAAATTTTCTTGTTTCATTCTGAAAGTTAATTAGGAAATTTTGTTGATTCCAGTTTCATAGTTTTAAGTTGGGCAATTTTATTGACTAAATCTGTTACTTCGACAATTTTTTTTTTTTTTTTTTTTGCAAAAAATAACTGGAGTGGACAAAATGATTGTAGCCTATGCCTTATCCTTTTGTCCTCTTAGTTGGAGTGAATGTTACTGCTGTATAAAATATCTGTAGTTTAAAGGATAAAATGTAACTGCCAGTAATGAAGTGTCAATCAGTTATCAACAGGACTCAAGGCATTTGTTTAGTCATCTAATGACTTTATCATGGTCATGAGGGCACCTATCAACAATTTGCAATTATCTTGATGGGATTTGGTTTAAATATATTTCCAAGATAGACTATTGAATGTGAAACAAAAAAAAAAAAAAAAGTTATCAACCCTTTTAAAGGGCAATATCAATATGTAGTCTGTATTCAGTTTAATTAACCTAAATTCACAAGTGAAGGAATACTTGTGTGCACACATACATAATATAGGATGTGGCTCTAGTTCTTTATTGAGCACTTTCATAAACTATGTATCTTGAAACGTTAAATTTTAGTAATTTTATGTATTTCAATAGGTATTGTATTAATTTTCTTTTCCTCCTCTTACAGGGTCATTGTGTTGTTGTTTTTAATGAAGATGGTCAGTTTCTGCGGCGCATTGGGTGCGAAAATATCACAAATTACCCGAATGGAATAGATATTAGTGATGCTGGTGACGTTTTAGTTGGAGACAGTCATGGCAATAGATTTCATGTGGCTGTGTTTCAATGTGATGGCTCCTTAATAGGTGAGTTTGAGTGCCCGTATGTGAAAGTGAGCCGTTGTTGTGGCTTGAAGATTACTTCAGAAGGTTATATTGTTACACTGGCTAAAAATAACCATCATGTCTTGGTTTTAAACACTCTTTATATTACATAAAACTAAAGCAGATCTTTTAAACCTTTCATTTATACTAATTCAGTTAATGCCAGATTAATTCTGGTATGTTTTTTATCCTGAGCATCACTAAGTGCTTACATTTTTTCTTTCAACCCCCCCCTCTTTTTGCTTTATTTCCCCATTCCTTCTCCTTGGAGTATTAAAAAAACAAAAAGTTTTTCATCAATTAGATTGTTACTCCAGTTTTAACAATTTACTGCTGATACAGAAATGTGCTGCAAGGCACAATCTCTTACCAGAGTTAATATGGACTGAAAAAGATAAATGGTGACACACACATATATATATATATATATATATATATATATATATATATATATATATATATATATATATTTCCATTTTCTGTAACTGCTTCCCTCCATCTTGTTTAGGCAGTTCTGGAAGTGACTTTACACATGAATTGTTTGAAAAAAAAGATGTGTGTGCGTGCATACAATGACTATAGAAGTACAGGGAGGACAGGTTTAAACTCTTGAAAGAATAAATCTTGTTTTTGCTCTTATCCCTTTAAGTTGTATATAATTTTAAATTTACGTGATTTGAATTTGCTGTTTTGGGTACGGGGTGTATTCATCAAATTGTTTTAAAAACTAACTTGTTTTTTTATTTTTTATTTATTTACAAAGGAGTATAAATAAAGCTTTTACATATTCATAAAAGTTCTTATTTTTATTATAACTTTTGAACTTCGATGATATAGTAAAGCTCCTTTGGGACTAATGTAACTTTTTGCAGTCTTTTTTATACACTAGTTTTTGCAGTACTTCCATACAACATTTTTTCAGTATCATTTACTCTGAATTTCATTTAATTCTCAATTAGCAATTATAAAGTGCAATTCCTAACTTTGTTATATTTGCATTTGATCTTCCTCCCCACCCAATCTCTCTTTGCCTATAAAATTGGCATGGTTTTGTTTATGTGCTGAATATATTCTTTAATATTAACACAAATAGTCTGACATGTCCTGACTTAGTAAATATGCTTCTCATTTGTAATTTTGAGTTAGTTGCCTCATCCTGGGAGAGTTTTAACAAACATTTCCTTTCCCAGCAATTACCAAATAAAATTTGTAGTCATTAGAGCTTTTTAAGAAATTGTATGAAAGCATTCATTACCTTGCATAACATTATCAGGTGTGTTTAATACTTATAGGAGATAAACCTCCTGTTATGTAGACTTGTTCTGCCAGAATGTTGATGTCAAATTTGTCATTGTTGCCATTAAGGGCAATCTCCGTCCCTAGGTAAATTTTCAAAGCGTATCTGAAAGTATATTTGTTGTATGCCCCTAGATGTATATTAATATACCCAGGGATAGGAGTGAAAATCACTTATGCTTTACTGTTTGTTTGTTTGTTTTTCTTCAACCAATAGTTGAATTGGAATAAAGTTCTATATATTTGCATTGACTTTAAAATTTTACACTTTAAAGATATTTGGTGTGAGATATATATATTTTTGCCCTATGTACAACTTGTGGGTGCAAAAATTATGCATGTCATTCCTCATAGCATAATGGTTCTTTTAGTTATGTAATATTTTAAATTGCACTCAACTAGTATATCGTGTATATGTGGACTACAGTTTACTGGTTCATTTATTTATTTTTTTTTTAATATCCTTTTGACTTAGTATTATGATGGGACCAATTTTGCTTCCCATTAGTGTTTTGCTGTTGTTTGTCTGTTGTTTGTATCCCCCCTCACCTCTTCAAGTTGAAACAATGGCGCTCCCTAGTAGACTTTTGAATGTTTGTGTGCCATAAACTATCCAGAAATGTAGATCTGCCTTTTAGTAATTTTGATATTAGATTCATTTAAAATGTTTATACTCATATCTAAAGTTGCATATTGATTAGAGAGGGGAGAAAAAAAAATCAGAACAGAAAAAAAACCTGTCCTACCTGTTATTAAAATACTTTTTTGATTTGTAGATTCTGTTCTTCCATATAAATGTAAGGTTGTGCTAATGGAGCTATATTGTCTGAGCTAAATAGCTGTGGACTTTCAAATTTTTTTCTCAAAAGATCCTGAAATTTTAATGTCACATATTTCTAACAATAAATTCTAAAGTTAAATTTCTTTGTGGCTCTAAACTCTTCAAGAGCTAACATTTAATTGTAGAAAATGTCTTAAATTCAATTTGCATAGATTTTCTCCTTTTCTGTTTTTTCTCATTAAGTTACTCCTGCAGTGCTATGGTAACCTTTGTATCCCTAGGCCAATTTTTTGTCTAGAAAAATTATAGAAATATTCTAATATAATTGGCTTAGAATTGTGATTTATTACTGCGAAAAGGTGTTGTTTTTTGTTGTTTTTTTTTCGTTTTTTGTTGTTGGTTTTTTTTTTTTTTATTATTATTATTTTCTTTCTTCCCCGTCCCCAATTCTGAAATGCTTAATAGGAAAATACCACAAATAGCTTGAAAATTTTCTGTGTAAATTCTCAATCTATAGAGTACTTAAATTTGACTTTTTGTCACAAGTTTTATAGAGGGACTACCTGTTATGACCAACAATTCTAGTCAGACAATTAATCATTTCTGAATAAATCTTCAATATGCACCTTTTTTTTTTCTCTCTCTCTCTTTTTTTTTTTTTTTTTTTTTTTTTTTTTTTTTTTTTTTTTAAGGGGGGGGAAAAAGATTGTTCCTGTGATATTCAAGGCATAATTTGCATTCAGGTCATAGCATGTTTCAATCATTAAACATGGCATGCTTATTATTAATAAACCTTTTGAAATATCAAGTTGCATTTCCAATACTTTTTTTTTTAATTCAGAATTAGTCTGACCTAAAAGCATCTAGAACTTCTTCAGGTAGCCCTTGTTATCTCCTGCTGTTTTTCCCTTTAATCAAAACTTGCTTTCAAAATGTGGCATCAATGAGAATATGCTTAAACATTGTTCCATTGCCAGACCAATTTTCTTTTTCTCCTCATCACTACATAGTCTTTTTTTTTTTTCTTTTTCCCCAATTCAGCAGGGAAGTTTTATAGAAAATACCTCTTGTGTATGCCCAACTCAAGATATAAAATTTCACAAAATGCTTGATTCTAGTCACCTCAAATTTACATGACAAATTTTGCTGTGCCTTAAGGGATCATTTCTTTATTTTTCTGTATTGTAGAATTTAATACATTAAAGAAATTATTTTGACTTTAATATTGACCCAATTAATCTGCAACATTTGATTAACTGTTTACTGTCTAAATTCATCAATTGCACAACAATTTTGACTACCTATGTTCTTATATTACCACACTTGATGTGGTTTCTAAACTTAACAAAATGAAAAAAAAATTGGGAAGATGTTGTGACCTTAAATCTCTTAACTAAATTGTTAAGATTGCTTAGATAGCTTCAACTATGTGAATTATCATTCAATACTGAACTTACATTTTTCAAGTTTTAGATTATTCCATTACTTTTCACTTATATATTTTCTTATATATTTTTACTTTAAGGCAGATGTTTTCCTTTTCAGAACTCATTACTCAGACACTGCCTTAAAAAATTCTATTTTGACCCTCTCAAATTTCACTAAAAAGGTTTTGGATTTCTACTTAGCAAACAATTCAATGGAATTTATTTTTGGTTTGGACAAAATCTTTAGGATGCTGTATAGCTTTGTTACTTTTTTTTTTTTTTTTTTTAATTCTATATCATAAACTTCTAACTCTTAAATAGCTGAAAACAACTTGTTTGAAAGATTGACAATTTTGTATTATAAAATGATTTTAAAGTAGTAATATCTTTAAAGGAGCATAGCTCTATTTTTGTTGTAGAATACTTAAATAAGTTTTGATGTCTAAAGGGACAGCTCATACTTAATAAATGCAAAAACATTTCCATAGGTAAATTTTCTGTGTGAAATGTGGTAGCAAGATTGTATTGGAGTTTATTTTATTATTATAAAAAAAGTGGGCAGTAAATAGTTAGCACAACTATAAACCTTTCAAACATAAAGTAATGTATGTTTGCTCACTTTTAAAATTTATATACTGTCATGTTCATTGTTTCCACCAAATCAATAATCAAAAAATGCAAAAAAAAATTTTTTTTTTGGTAAAAGAAAAATTTTATTTTTTCCTATTTATTTTTCTGTAATGAATGAAAAGGGAAATTGCCTCCTTTTTTTTATTTTTTTTTTTTTATTTTTTCTTTGATAAAATTTGACTTTTTTAATTTCTTAATTAAAATGAAAAAAATGAAACTTATTGGATAATTGTTCTCCTTTGTTATTTTTTACTCATATACTGATTATACTATTCACCTATTTACAAGGCCAGCATGTTAAAAAATTAAAAAAAAAAAAACAAACAAAAAAAGCACAAGGGCACAAAAACTACATTTAGTTTATTTTATTTGCTATTTTTGTCATACAGGATGTATATTTTATCTGCAAATTTTTTTATCCAGTTTAATCTGAGTTGGAGAAGATTATGCTCCTTTTTTGAGCATACTATACAACAGATTAATAAAAAAAAAAAAAAAACAAAAAAAAAAAAACAAAATGAAAAACAAAAAAAACTTCAGGACAATCCCATTTCAGTTGTATAAAGGAAACAAGGGATTTTAGTTTTTTTGCACTTTTCCTCTTAAACCTGTTTATTGCCCAGTGTTCCTATAAGGTAACAAATGGCTAGTTTTTGATGGAATCCCAACTTTTAAACTAGGTTTTTTTTTTTTCTCCTCCTTCCCATAAAACTAAGTTACCTGGTATAAAGTGGGATGTTCGTCATTGCTGAAAACATGAATAATAAAATTTATAACAAAAAAATTAGTTGCATATATATAAATCTTCAAATTGCTTTAGATTTTGAAAATGTTCAAATAATTTACCATTTATAGGGCATAAACTAAATCAGGAAAATTTATTGGATTTATTTTATTTTTCCTTGTTAAATGAAAAAATATATTTATTGCTTATTATGGAAGTATTAGAGGGCAGTAAGCATGAAATTCCTTCCTCCTTCAAGGATCTATTTAGATATCTTACATATGGGTTAAAGATTTTTTGCATTTAAGTGGTTTAATGAAGCATTTCATTAATCTGTAATATTCAGAAACTGCCTCCTTCTGGATGAATTATTACAGTTAGTATTTATGCCCAAAATATCATCGGATTTGCTACATATA